AACCCCCCCCCCCCCCCAATCCAAAACCAATTGCTGGAAATTTCAGGGAGCAATGTGTGTGAGAAATAGGGTAAGACCCATTTCTGCCAGCATGGGCAAAAGTGAAAGAAAATTTTGTACACGACCCACAACAATGAACAGGCACTGCTCCCTTGCTGCTGCTACTCAGTTCCTTACTACAAGGAAAGATCTTTTTTTTCTTCATCCTGCCTTTCAAAAACAAGGGGTGTATTATGCTCCAGGGCATGAAATATTTAAGAAAATATGGTAATTTTACCACAAACCACAAGTGTTAGGCTTTCCTCTGATATCACTTGCAAGGGAGAGCACTAGTCTGAACTTCCTATATAACGGCACCTAGAATATTTAAACACTGAAGTAACGTCCTACAATATCCTTTCCCCACGAAAGAGTCCATGGACTGAAATGATGGCAGTGTTGCCATTATATGCACATTTCTTCAGACTACAGAAGATCAGAGGATCGGATCTGGGGGACAGCTTAAATACCTTAGGAGCCCAAGTTGCATTCTCAAAGCTTTTTTGAAAATGCCACCCCACTGTCTGTATTATGTGGTTAATCCGAGACTTCCAAGGTCCCCAGCTGGATGCTACTTTGCTTTTGGATGCAACAGGACACATAACATGATTGTAGTCATATGGTTTCCTTCGCTGGCTTTTGGAATTCTTTGTGATGTGTGCCATCCTTTGCCTATCATCTACTCGGTCAGCAGCTTCATGACTGATATATAACTCTGCTTCTGCTCCATCACTAGAAGAATGTTTTGGCACAGCTGACTTGCACAGGTAACTTTGATACAGCATCTGGTTTGAAGGGTTTCCCTCTGGATGGACAGAGGTAAAAGGAGTTTGTACAACCTCACAGAAGGACACATCTTGAACCAGTGAAAACCTAGGGCTGGACCAAGGACTTCCATGATTTCCGGGTCTTTTACACCAAGGGCGCTGACAGAAGTGATATTTGCTGTGTGATCAGCCCCTTGAAAGCGCTCTACAACCATGCTCCGACAGAAGTGCATGGCTGCAGAGTGCTTTAAAAGTGCCTGATCACGTGACAAATTAATCCTCATTTAATGAGGGTTCAGATAAAGGTGCTCCAAAGTGGAGCTATGGGGAAAATCCATAGACTGTGAGAAAAACCCATCCTGAGTATGTTGGTCCATTAGTTACTTGCTCAGTTTACCTCCATCTTTCTAAACTCTTCTCATAGCTATTAACTTCTGTTTGTCCCTGCCCGGGGGGAGGCGGGGGGCAGGGATGGTCTGATGCAGCCCAGCTGCGCCCTCGGTGCTGTTGTCAGGATGGGATGGGGAGCTCCATTCTGGGGTTTGCCTAGTGTGTGATGGAAGGGGGAGGTGGGCAAATTGGAGCCCCCCACAGGTGGGGGCTCCAATCCACCTGCCCCCCCTTGCCCCTTTCTATGAAGCTTCCTAAGTTACAGCTGGGAGTTGCACATCTCTCTGTGCCCTAACTGACTACGCCAACTCTTAAGGCAAGATTCAAGATGCCCTTATGACAATGACATAATCCAGAGTGCATAAAGATTTTTGGTCCAGATTAGCAGTGAATGGCTGTGGAGCAGTTTGACGCTTTCAGGTAGAGCCAGCACACCGTTTTAAAACATGCTGGAAGTTGTTCTACTAATGAAGCCGAACCCAATTACTTCAACCCTGCCCTTCTACGACTCTGTACTTGCAGAAAGAACTATGGTTTGCAGCATCTCTGCATCAGGAAGATTATTCTGTCAGAGGTGCTCAACCTCCGGCCTGCAGGCCAGATCTAGCCCGTAAAGCCATGTCATCCTGCCCATGGAGCTCCCCAAGGGTCCAGCAATTTGGCAGCATGGGCAACGGCAGCATTAATTGCTGCTTCCCTGCTACTAAATTTCCAGACCTGTTGGGAGCCCCAGGACCCAGATAATGTGGCCCTGTGCACCAGATTGGGTTGACATACGGTGGGATTCAGGTGGGTAAAAAACTGACGCCACAGCTACGTCGCTGTAGTGATGCACTCCCTTGGTACAGTGCGTCACTACAACGATGTAGCAGCTAAAAATAACTGTCACGTGGATGGCACAGCATAGGCTGTTAGTATACTTCCAAAAGGAATTCCTAAATGACTGTGCAGTAATAATGGCGCCATAGGGGCACATGTAGATGTGCCCACAGTGAAGCAACAGTAGGCATATGAAACAGGGAAATGCATTGTGAAGCTGTTCCCTTTTACTCTTCACGGAATTTTTCAACATCCAGACAGCCAGAAATGGGCTACTTTGGGAAAGTCAGTTTTCTTCGTGATTTAGAGACAGGAGCCCCTACACTGATACCTGAATTCACCCCATATTCATTTGTGCCAAAAAGTACTTTTATTTCCCATTGTATCCTTTGTGACTGAGCCCCCTTTGATTCTCAACTGGGAGCCCTCACTGATATCACTTTCCTGATGGTGCAGAAAACAGACTTTAAATAAAATAGGTGCTGAATCTGTTATCAGAACAAATGGGATTGGAAATGTTGGCAGAAAACTTCAAGGGGCCCAAATAATACTGTACAGAAAAAAAAAGATGTCACTTGAAAGCTGTTAAACATATAACCCAAGATATGTATTCAAAGATATAAATTTAACTCTAAGATTATTTAAACCCTGTTCTTCATGCCTCAGTCTTTACCCACGTAAAAACCAGAAATGTTATGCACAAATAAAATACTGCC